TCTGACTTGGTATTGAATTATCAATGAGGTTGATGTTGTTTGTATTCCAATCCTATCTGCTACCTTTTCAATCAAGTCAGCAAAAGAGTTGTTTGTAGCCAAAGTAATTCCAAAAACACGGAAGTTTACATATTCCATGGCTTCATTCCAAACACCACCGTGATGAACAAAAATATGTATTGTTTCCATGTTTCCTGTTATTCACAACAAATATTATTCTATATTTAATAATCAATACATCTATAGAGTATTTTGATATCTAGAAACAAAGACTTATTGAACATTAACGATCAACGAGAATCATGATCAACATAGTAGTGCGATACGCAGAAACAAAGACTTATTTAACATCATCAATTTATCACAAACGCAACAAAATTACATTCCTAAATTCAAACTTATTGGAAACACTAAACGAAATATGAAATTGTAATTAACTGACCTCGATGATTGATCAAATTTTATCAAAACGATGCTTAGCTTGATTCACTATAGAGTCTTCACAACTGATCAGAATTGTATTCTATCGATTAAATCTTCGTTTGGAAGATTGAGATCGATGTTTTGATGCGGTAGTCATCTGCAAATAGCTTCGATTGAACTTTAGGAGTAGGAAAGTAGTTCGCGAAAGATTTTCGCGCGCTGAAAAAGATAGTCATCGTCGATCGATATTGAGCTCTGGGTTTCTAATTTTGGTGATCAAGTTCTTGGTTTCTAATTTTGGTCATTTATATACTGGATATTTTTGAAAAAAAATCTTACGTAGCTTATTTTTTAAAACAGAATTTGTCCTTGACATAAATGATACGAAGTATTATTTTCCTCATTTGGCTTATTTGTGAAATTTTCCCATAAATATACTCCGTATATGTTTGCAATTTGATCCTAGAATCTATTGTCACAGAATCTATTTCTTAGGAGGATTTCCACTTAAAGATTCCTTCCGAGTGGAATCCTGAAAGCGAGCTGCTGCGTAAGCCTACGTAGTTGACTGGTTGCATCTTTTACTTTCTAGCTCAATTCAATTATACCATTGTTTATCTATGGCAAAGCCCCTTCAATAATCGTTATTTGAAATAATTTGTGTGAATAATATCCATTGGAGAAAATAAATACCCGTAATAATAATTTTATCTCATTAATCATGAACATCACAAAACGAGAGGCGCATCACTGTAGATTGTTTTAAACCTCGTTGTATTCAACAAGGGTGCTTTAGATTTCAGATTTGATTAATGATACTACATATTTAAGTGAGTTTTCTTAAAAAATGAATTCTTTTAATGGATTGTATTGTTAACACTCTAATTACTAACATGTGGTGTTCGAAAGGGCTTAATAATGCCTCCCGACGCTTACTAATTAAGGGGTGTTTGGAACTAATTCTGCATCTATTCTGGAACTAATTAGTTGTCAGAAATTGGTCTCCCCCAACTTCTAAAAAACTGATTCTAGAAGTAAATTAGAGCACAAAAATCACTTCTGCACTCTCACCCAAATACTCCAACTTCCGATTCTGCTTCCTGAATGAGCTGAAACAGTTTTCAGAATCAGATCCAAACACCCCTAACACATTTGATTTTTCATTACTTTTCTCCAAACAAGTGGTAACACAAATAATTTGTAACACTTTCCATGCCTTATCAACGCTTCATCCAAACAAAGCGTTAAGTCTATGTAATTCATATTCGCACAATCTTAATACTCCCTCCGTCCCAAATTATAAGATACTTTTCGGTTTAGGATGTTTGACCGACGATAAAACAAATGGATCCCTGTGTGCACTCAAATTAATTTTAGAAAAAAGAATTACATATTCATAAACTACATTAAAACCGCTACAAAATCTGCAAAAAATAATTCAAATTTCATAAAATTTTGATATATAAAGTAAGAGATTAAGAGTGATTTGTGTTGACCAAGTGAATAGTAAAGACATCTTATAAAATGGGACAGAGGGAGTACAAATTAGGACAATCTTCACCGTAAATTGTAAAGCTTATTTCAAATTATAAATTTAGTAAAGTTGGGAATTTACTAAATTATAAAGGCTAAAGGGTCAAATAGGCCCTTGAACTGACTTAAAGTGTTCAATTAGCCCCTTATATAGGAGGTTCTGCCCGGCCGTCGCCAATTGGGGCGGTTCCCGGTGGAATTTTTTGATGAAATTTTTTGAGCATCTTCTTCATTAAGTCTAGTTTAATCATACCAAAGTTCAGCTAAAAATTCAACCGGAAAGGCAGTCAAATGATTTTTTGAAGATAACTGCGAAGTTAAACAACGCAGTACATTTCGAAAAATCATTTAACTCCCTTCCCGGTTGAATTTTTAGCTGAAATTTGGTATGGGTAAACTAGACTTAATGAAGAAGATGCTCAAAAAATTTCATCAAAAAATTTCACCGGGAACCGCCCCAATTAGCGACGGCCGGGAAGAATCTCCTATATAAGGGGCTAATTGAACACTTTAAGTCAGTTCAAGGGCCTATTTGACCCTTTAGCCTTTTTTTAGCCAATTATAAATTAAGTTATTTTCACTTATTCATAGTTTCATACTTACAAAAAGTATCACTGCACCTATTGGGGATCTCTTCAATGTAATTGTATTCATGTGAACACCCAAAATTATAAAAAAAATAAGAATATATGGCTGAATTAGAGTAAGACTACGTAATTCATTTGAAAAACTGCCGGCAACATACCAAGCTGGTAGTGATAGTATGACTTTTCAATTTTATTACCATTTCCCCCACATTTTATCTATATGACCATATATAAAAATAGTCTTTTTTAAAATTTGACTTTCGTATTGTAATTCTCTTTTCTGTTTTACTCATAAATTTATCATACTCCTTACTTTTTACTTGCGTTATCCATTTTTTTTAGTTTTTTAACAATAACCCAACTTTTATATATTCCTATACCAGAAAAAGTTGATTATGTTTTCAATATCGGACTCATCATTCACTTATACTCCGTATTAAAGAATATATTTATCCTATTGTAATTTAGGAAACTTACTTACGTGTTTTATCCTATTTTGAGCAACTTTTATTGTTTTGTAACAAATTCCTTTTGCATGGAGACATGGAGTTGTAGGATATTCTATTATTATGCAGTGGGAAATGTAATCGGAATGTGCGGACAATACATTATCTAGTGGATCGGAGTATCCAACCTTTTGACCTACAAAACCACCTTATTTATATGACTCAAAAATTGAAATGTATTCTAGTCCATGAAATATGCCACCTTAAATTTCAGTGTCTAATAAAATGATTTATTTCCTTTTATCATCACAATCGAAATGTATTATGACCCATGTGGAGATTATTTTCACTTCAAAAAAATAATGTCAATTGCATAATCTATTGGAAACTCTTGAATTCATCAACTTATAGAGAGTTAAAATAACGTAGACAGAGCTGAAAGTAGTCTGAAACTCCTCCATGGAGTTTCGAACCTGAAACCCCCATACGACCATCAGTTGAGCGAGCTGGATTGATTCCTCAATTTCACTGGACTCATTCACATTTTAGTTTTTCTTTAAAGTAATGTAAAATTACTCATTCTCATGTTAACTTATTTACGAGAATGCACCACACAAGTTCAATCATTTGATCAATACTCGTAAACTATGTAGATTTATGGCTTCTTTTTATTTCAAACTATGATAAATATTGTGAATGATATACTTTTAGTGAAACCATCTAACATGTGATCGTGACTAATCGGTAGTGACTTCCAACCAGGGGCGGAGTCAAGGGGGGTCAGGGTGGTCAGCCGACCCCGCTGAAAGTTTGAGAGTATAGAGCTCTGAAATATCTTCGATTTGATATATTATGGCCCCCGTAACTCATTACGAGTAAAAAGTTATGACTTCTGCAAAATCAGGACTATCTAAATGTAAAATTAGCAAAATTTGATGCATACTATAGATTATTTTCACAAATTTTAAAATTATGGTATAATCCAGTCAACACTTGCATGAATGACTCAGAAATAGAGCAAAGACAATCTATCATTTTGCTACGAATGTCTATTTATCTAAACTACATATGAAATATTCAAATTAGACATTGTTTAAAAACGATCTAACATTTTCATTCTGTATATAAGTTGAGTTTCGACCCCCTGAGCCATTTTTCTGGCTCCGCCCCTGCTTCCAACTACTTTTTGGTGAGTTTTCCAAAGACTTTTTGGAGAATGTTTTTTTAAAATTATTTCATCGATGATAGACGCGATCTTTTAGATAACTTTTTAAAACGTTATCTAAAACGTTTTCTAGTGAATTTTTTAAAACTTTTTCACCAAAAAAGTTCCAACCGCGTTCGATGGCTAAGTCATGGTAAGAGTATGGCGGGGGAGGCTGTTTCGGTTGATATAGGAGATAGAAGAAATTTGAAATAAATTTATAGTTTTGAATATTTAAACAAAACTAATCATATTTTCATCTATCACAAAGTTGCTATTTTTTATTAAAGAATTGCACTCCAAATGAATCCAATATCACAAATAAACCAATTTAAAGTTCATACTTTTTAATTTCAAGTTTAAGTCATATATGAATTACATTTTTAAACTTAATTACCTCTGAAAATCTCAATCGGAATAGTAGCATTGTATGTTTTTTGCTCTTTATATTTGGCCTGGATGACTTATACCGCGAGAATGTACCACTAGATAAGTTATACTCCATAAAAAATGTGGAGTTTTGGTAGGTGTCTTATTCCTATATATTTGAATTTGCTTTAGCCTAAGGTCTATTTGAGTCTTTGTCAATCTTAATACTTTTTTAAGATGGCAAGATGAAAGATTTCTTACCAAAAGAGTCACGGGATCCAACTATTGAATGCATTTATTTTAGAGAAAAATAATTATATCATGTACAAGTGTTTTAATTAGGGGATATATTGTACACACTACTTGTTGCAAATTAAATATAAAGCCTATATATACACTCTTCTATAAATATATACCCCATTACTTCCATATTTGCTCCATTAATTGAGGAATCATATCGCAGCTCTAGCATTGCTTTAGAGGAATCGTCATCATGAATGCTTTAGCAGCAACCAATAGAAACTTTAAACTTGCAGCTCGTCTCCTAGGCTTGGACTCCAAACTTGAGAAGAGTTTGCTTATCCCATTTCGAGAAGTCAAGGTTTACTTTTGCTTCCCTCTCTCCCTCCATATATGTTTCTTTTTTACTTGTTGCTTGATTTGTTTGATTTTTTTTAGAGGAATTGATTTGTTTGATTTTGAACATAAAAAAATCAGGTTGAGTGTACAATACCAAAAGATGATGGCTCCTTGGTATCTTTTGTCGGATTCCGCGTTCAACATGATAATGCTAGAGGCCCCATGAAAGGTGGAATCAGATACCATCCTGAGGTAATTTTGATCATCACAATGATCTCTCCTTGTTGAGCAAACCCAAAATATTGCCGTGTGACCGGTTACATAGTGCTCCTTGGCTTGTTTTGTAGAGCCCATTTGAGATGACTTTTGCAGCATGTATAAAAGTGCTTTTTTAGAGAACTTGATGTTGCTTTTATTGATAAACAGAAACTATAACATTTGTTAGTTTGAGATCATCAAATTTTAGCTTTTATAAGGCTAAAAACACTTTCTCTACAAACTTTTGAAAAAAGGACAAGCATTTAGAAAAGCGTTTTTCAGTCATCCCAAACATGCACCAAATCGTTAGTTGATAAGCCGTTATTCTTTTAAAACCTTCATGACACACATATTTATTGTGTTTGTAGAATCTGTTGTTTTTCAGTCATGTTTTTTTGAAAATCCATTCTATTTTAATGTTAGTTAGGTCTGTGTTGCATGGCATGGCATCCATATTCTGGAGTTTACATGAATTGAATATTCTGATCAATTATAAGGGTTGTGAATACTGTAGGTTGATCATGATGAGGTGAATGCATTAGCACAACTGATGACATGGAAAACAGCAGTTGCAAACATACCATACGGTGGAGCCAAAGGAGGGATAGGGTGCAACCCTGGGGAGCTGAGCGTCTCTGAACTCGAGCGACTCACTCGCGTTTTTACTCAGAAAATTCATGATCTTATTGGAGTTCAAATTGACGTACCTGCGCCTGACATGGGAACCGGTCCCCAGACGATGGCTTGGATTCTTGACGAATACTCAAAGTTTCATGGCTACTCACCTGCTACCGTTACTGGAAAACCAATCGTAAGTGACTTAAGACACGAGATCTTATCCTAAAAAGTTAATCTAATTGACTACAAGGACATATTCATTTTATCATTGCGTTTTGACAAAAACAGGACCTGGGAGGATCTTTAGGCAGAGATGCAGCTACAGGAAGGGGGGTTCTGTTTGCAACAGAAGCTTTACTTAAAGAACATGGGAAGTGCATTGCGGGGCAGCGCTTCATTATACAGGTACACATCGGTAATGATGCTTCAATTTCAAGGATATCTCTGAAAAACTAAAGGTCTGTTTGCACCACGGAAAATTCTAAAAAGGAGGAAAAAAATATGTTGAAAAAAGTTACTTTTGTGGTTGACTTTATACCGGAAAAGAAAATGAAATATGATTAATTTTTTGTTTCCATGTATTCGAATTTAAAATAATGACAACTATATGACTAAAAGAGTTATAGGCAAAAATATGACATTTACTACTCAGTAACCATGATGATACTATCATAGTGACTGTAGTAATCATGTTTATGGTGATGTTCTACTCTACTATTTGTAATGACCATGCAAGAAGTATTTTCAAATAGATAAAGTGACCATGTATACAAATTTTCCTCTGTTATTGGAAAAATGCCTTTAGATTTCTTTATGTTTGTATAGTGGAAACCATAGAATGAATTCAATCATATCTAAAATAAATTTAATGAGACTTTCCCACAAAACTTCTTTCCTTCCAGTTCTCTCTCCATTATATGCTCTCCCCTAGTATTGTCTAAGTTCCAAATGGACGGTAATGGAGTTCTGCTTTTCCTCACACAGGGATTTGGAAATGTTGGTTCGTGGGCTGCTCAGCTCATAAGTGAGGAAGGCGGAAAGGTTGTTGCGGTCAGTGATGTCACTGGAGCTATAAAGAATGAGAAAGGGTTAGACATTACTGCTCTGATGAACCATGTGAAAGAGAACCATGGTGTGAAAGGGTTTCATGGTGGGGATGCAGTGGATCCAAACTCTATACTGGTTGAAGACTGTGACGTTCTAATTCCAGCTGCTCTTGGAGGTGTCATTAACAGGTTGGTTATTGGCACAAGTAAAATAATATAGATATCATGGTTTGAACTTTGAACCAAATTTTGAAGCAACTCTCTTATGTTCCATTGTTTTTTGACTTTCTGATCTCAATGAAGGGAAAATGCAAAAGACATCAGAGCCAAATTTATTATTGAGGCTGCTAACCATCCGACTGATCCGGAAGCCGATGAGGTTAGTATAGGATTAAGGGGTTATCAACATTGGTTTAGAGGTCCCCACCCAGAAGCAAGGCTATAGGGGGTCAGTTCTGGATTCCGTTTTGGACTGCCCGAATCTGGGGTGGTGGAACCAGCTATTCCAGATCTGATTCTGATATGTTTCCTGCTCAATTGTTAACCTTAATGAAACGGTCCAGACCTGTTTAGAACCAGACCATAAAATAATCATTCACCAGTACCGGTTTGGTGGTTCCCGTTCGATTTTCAGTTAACCCCCCCCCCCCCCCCCAAGGTTATGTTCTGATCATTTAACCCACTTATAGTCTTTTGGATGAATGATTTTGGAGCAGAAACTTTAGAAGACTCGATTGATATCTTTATATAACTTGAGATTATGAAGAAATTATAAATTAATGATGCCCCCTTCCAAGCCCATCCATCCAAATTGACCTAGATACTATGATTAATAAACTAGATGATATATTTCCAGCTAGGGGCTAGGCCATATATTTTACCTGAGTATTTGGTATTCTGCAGATTTTAGCAAAGAAAGGGGTTGTGATTTTGCCAGACATTTATGCGAACTCAGGTGGAGTTACTGTGAGCTATTTTGAGTGGGTTCAGGTGCTTAATTACCTTCACACCTAAACTTACATTTACTAATAGATTGCATGTCCTGAGTTCTTGATTCTGTTTAACCATTTGTGTAGAACATTCAAGGGTTTATGTGGGATGAGGAGAAAGTGAATGCAGAGCTTCACAAGTATATGACCAGAGGATTGAGAGGTGTGAAGGATATGTGCAGAACTCACAACTGTGATCTTCGTATGGGTGCATTTACACTAGGAGTTAGCCGAGTCGCCCGGGCTACGCTTCTTAGGGGATGGGAAGCCTGAGAAGGATTTGGATGCATCTTTTTTCTTTTCTTTTGGAATGTAACAGGCAGTAAACACCGTTTACTTTGCCATGCGGGCTTCTTCATCTTTATGCTTCCTAATGAATAACTGACTTTTACCAGATCATTCCCTCAGACTATTTAAAATGGGGTCACACTTATTTAAGTGAGAATGATTAAAATGTTCTTTCATTTTCCAAGTTTGCATCCGAAATACTGCATATTAGGATCTCAAATACTGACATGGGGTAACAAATTCTCCAGAATCTCAATCATTTTAGATTATGTCAATTAAAAAAATCTGTAAAATATACTCCGTAAGTAATATACTAATCTCATTACATTTTCAAAACAAGGTTAAGAATGCAATTTTTCCTACCAAGAAGTTTCCGATATTTATACAAAAAATCCACCAATATTTCCATAAATTCAAGTGCTTCGGCTTCAATAACAACATATACCTATTAGTAGGGAAGGGGAAAATACCATGGAGTCTCCAAAGGCCTAATCCATTCCAGTTGCACTAGATTTAGGATAGGTATTAAGGACATATAAGAAAAATAACTAATCCATTACGTTTAGATTTCATAATGGCTACAAAATTCTATACGAAACCGAACCTCTGGCAGTCTCAACAACCAGCCTATTCATTTTAATGAGTAGCAGCAGGTAAGATCTTGCTTTAGGCCCTGCAATGATAAAACCATAAAAATCAACCACTTTATCTTCCAAATTTGGAGTTTTTCTTCCTATGGAAGTAACAAATAAACAAAGAAATTTCCCTAAATAGGAGTAAAAACGTTTTGGAATTCCAAAACAGGATCACTATGTTTTTATTTTCTAAATAAGTGTAATAACTGATATTCTTGAAAAATACTGCCAATTATTACAGTATAATGCCATATTTAAAGCATGGCAATGCAAAATATGGCAGTGAAAGATTGCAGTACGTTAAGGGAAAAAGCATACTTCATAGTACTCTTAGGAATTTTACATTGTTTTTACAACTATTTCGGGAAATTTCCCAACAGAATATTAGGTATAGTACATGAAATGTCCACATTGACCCCATTTTACTATTAGAATGACTTTAGAACTTGTAGGATCATATGCGTTAACACTCATTGAAAAGTGGAACAAACAATAGAATTGAATATTGAATTCATACCCAATCCTAAAGATTCAACTTCATCCATTTGAATGACACTTGGTTTAGTGTTTTTTCTTCTAAGACATGCATTCATCTTCTCAACAGCGACAATCAGGTCCTGTAAGATGGCATTAGCCATTAAGCATATTCTCTTGATTACAACCCTCCTAGGGAAGAATTTGTAATTATAAGACATAATAAAGGACATAACCCACTTCTTCCATAGGATTAATCATAAATAAGACCATTGGTTAACTGCTTCAACTAATGAATAATAAAAAATATAATACGATGTAAGCATTTACCTCCCATGATGCTAAACTCTTCATATTCTTAGGAAGAATCTCATAATCATCTAGTGACACACTTATCAAGGAAGTAGGGTCTTCAAATGTAATCGATGCATGGTCCATTACATCTAAGTTAGAACATTTGCACATCAATGTATATTCTATCACCAAGAGAACATCTTAACAGAAAGCAACTAGATTTAGACATCCGGAAAAATCCAACATTTTTATCAATGATTGAACAGATTCCTCATCATTAGCTGCAGATTATGATTCACAGGAGGACCAAACAAGGACCTAAGAGATTAATATCGTTTTTGTATAGTAAACATCTGATGAAAGTTTAATCTACTAACCTTCAGGTGCAAGAGCAGCTACACATGCATCCGAAAATCCAAGATTTTGTAAGCTCAGTGTATCGTCTAGTCTGACAAGGTCAAGGACCACTCACCAGTAATGTACTAATACATCATAGCTGAATAAATCTTTCAATACAAGATAAGATCATAAACAAGACAGCAAGAAGTTAAATAATTGTCAAAATCACTTTTTGGTTTCATTTCAAGGACACAAAAACAAACCTCCAAAATTCATGGGGTGAGTTTTCAGGTTCAGCATAGGTTATGTTAAGTTTAATTCTGGGTTCACCTTGTCAGTTTGCAATTTATAGTAACAACCAAAAATTTCACAATATCTGGTTTTATCTCAGAGAACATCCAAAAACTCCACATAACCCAGTATTGAAGAACGCCCAACTTAAAATGTTTACTTCTAAGTAACTTTAATATGTTCACTTATCATAATTTCTATATTTCAAAATCCTTCACTGCATTAACTTAACTTTACCAAATACTACGTAAATAGCTAAACAACATTTATATATGTTTGGTACATCCAAATTCACCCCATTTTAAATAAAACTAAGCTTTCTTAAGTTCACAAAGTTTACTTAAATTAAATCTATCCAAATGGACCCTTAAGAAAGCTAAGGAACTTCAAAGTTCATTTAGCAAGGTAGATAACCCTTCAGAGCATAGACATTTTAGAGGAACGGAAAAGATACAAAGGGTCGTCTTCAATTTTCTTTGTGAAGCCAAGACTGCTGAAGTCATCTGATGGTCCTTCATTTTCCTCTTCTTCATCTTCATAGTCAGCATCAACTAATGCCCCCAAATAGGAGCAGATTTGAGAAACATATCATTAATATTCAGAAGTCATAAAATCAAAGCAATATACTTGCGTTGTATGCACTACTTACAAGAGGAGGTGTATCCCAGGGAGGGGAGGTGGTCCTGGAGAGACAGGAGTTGATTTTGGTTCTCCTTGTAGACTTCATTGCAGTGGCCAAGCAGCTCTTCAAACGACACCGTTCCCAAGGACATAGATTCCAACAAGTTGAGCTTGCTGCTGGCCGACGACACCCTCCAGTTCAGGCCTTGCACGAACGTCGTCGATGCAGAGTCTGATGCAAATATATGTGCGGGCAATCATTTTCCAAAACAGAAAAGGTAACTTTATTAGGAAGAAGTCATACCTAGAGGGATGGGGCGGCGACCGACAGACTGGGTGAGGGCGTCGCAGCTCGTCTGTAGGTGGTTGCAGAAAGCGGCGGCGGTTTTGCTGAATTTCTCGATCGTTGCGTCCATTGCTGACTCGGTGGTCACTCGGAGAGTTTGAAAATGAGGCGGACAGACACAGTATCATCTTACGTTTCAAGTAAGAAATCATTTGTGTCTCTATTTATATTGTGTTTCACATCGAGATGCAGCAACGAAGCGCCTGTAGCTCAGTGGATAGAGCGTCTGTTTCCTAAGCAGAAGGTCGTAGGTTCGACCCCTACCTGGCGCGATTAAATTTTGTATTTTTCCCTAATCTTTTGTGAGAGGAAACTTCTGGTGGTTTGCAATATTTCTACCTTGAACTAGGGGTGGGCAAAAATACCGAACCGGCATGATACCGAACTGGACCGGTATGGTACCGGACCGATAAACAGGGTTTGAAACGGATCTCAAAATTTTTTGTCCCGAACCGGACCGAACCGGTTCCAAACAATGCCATGACCGGTTCTCATAAAATGAGAACCGGTACCGGACCGAACCGGACCGAAGTATGGTTTATTAAATTTGTACTACTATAGTTTATCTAAAATATATTAATTACCTCATCCGTCCCAAATTGATTTGCAAAGCCAACATTTTTTTTGTCAAAGTTAATGTTAAGTTCTTGATAATTATTACAATTTTTAATAATTAAAATTTACATATTTAGAAACCACATTAAAATCTCTCTAAAGTTGCAAAATCCAAATTAAAATATACGAAGTATGGAGTAGTTTTTTTGAAAGGTCAAATTAGAATATAATTAAAAAGTGAAATTCTAATTAAGTGAATAAAAAGAAATTGTTTGACCAAAAAAAGATTGACTTTGCAAATCAATTTGGAACTAAAGTAGTATGATATATGAAAATTGATAAATTGTGTGGATTTTTGGAGGATGACTAAACTTTAATTTTTTCTTAAACACCTGGAAAAAGTGGCATTGTTTGGTATTGGTATGGCATGGTACCGTCCCGTTTGAAAATGGACCGTACCAAACGGGTTTGGGTCTAAGACCGAACCGTACCGAACCGTTTCAATAGTAACGGTACGGGTACGGGTTCGGCCAAATATTGGACCGGACCGGACCGTGCCCACCCCTACCTTGAACTTTGAGGATTTAGAACTATGTTAAATGAATACGGAGTACATCTTTAAACTTATTATTATACGAAGTACTAGTTTTCAATTTCCTAAATGCCCAAGTAATTTATCTTGTAAAAAACTTCAAAAAATATACTACCCTCGTTCTTAAATAAATGCAACACTTTGACTTTTACACTATTCACATGTTCTACTTTGACTACGTTTTATTTATTCATGTAATAATATTATTTTATGAAAAAAATATTGTTAAACTTGTCCCATTGTAAATTTTCATAATCTAATTTTTTTAGTTTTTTAACTAATACAAAATCATTTATATTAATGGTCAAAGTTGTGTCTCGGCAAGTGTGAAATGTTGACCGTTGCATTTATTTAAGAACGGAGGAAGTATAACCTTATTTCATATGACTACTTTTGCAATTGGATGTTAAAGTATAAAGGTAGAGGGAAATCTTTGAACTGTCAACCTTTCATTTTGTTAGTCCCTTAACTTCTAAAATTATTTTTGATAGTATAAAAATCACTTTTACATATAGATGACAAAATAAAAATAAAAAGTCCATAACTCAGCATGCAAAGTAGGTCTTAATGGAGACCGGCTTGATCTTGATTGAGTAGAGTTTTCTAATAATATCAATCTTTATAAGCTATGTTATATGCCCTCCATCCCGATGGACTTTCCCAAGTACAAAGTAGATGAGAAATAAGAATAGTAAAAACTGTGTGATTGATATTTGTGCAGAGGAGAGAAAAATGTGCAGAACCATAAATTAGTTATTTTAATGTGATAGAGGGAGTATAACAATTAACAACACTCTAAAAAAATCAAAACAACCATTTTAATGAAGATCGGCTTGATCTTAATTTAAAATGATAGTCTCTATTTTAAACTCTAAAATTACACTTCTATTTATATTGTTTTTGAACAAAAGCTATATACTACGTACTATATTAGTAAAATCAGTAACCCAATAAGGAAAATCCAACATT